TACGAGACTTAGCGTGTAACATCACCCACACCACTTCGACAGCTAGTTGACAGTGATCTATCAGTTTTCAGGGTCTGCTTCTGGGGGTTGAGGTGAGGATAGTGAGACCTGTTGCTTTCCATTGGATAAGTGTTTATATTTTTATATACTCTTTACTTTGATTATTTATTTAAGAATTTATTTTGCATATGAATAGATACTCTGCATTTTTTGTTCTATGTAATTTATTGTAAATGTGAAACTAATCACGTTGTATATATTTTGCTAAGAATTGTAAAGTTTTCAGTTTGTTTGTATTTTTTGTCTCAAACGTATTGTATAGTTATTCTATGTTTTGCCTGATTTGTGTCTTATTAAAGATTCATTTTCTTTTATTGTATTGAGATGTTGTGATGGACTTTGCGACAGAGTCAATGGAGTTTTAAAGAGTATACTAAAGAAGATGTGCCAAGAGAAACCACATGTAATTGTTAATATGTATTTTCATTTTTTCTATGGGCCCATTTTGTTTTCCATTTCTGTGTCTTATAAAAGATTTTAATATCATGATTGTATATTTTGTTTTCAATAGAGTTTTTGTACAAAGGTATTTATTTTTCTTTATGTTATGTTTCACTTATAAAAGATTATATTTATGTGCATTAATGTATTTGTGATGTTGTTATATATAGATAATTTGTTTTTATTTCTTATTAATTTAACTGTTTATTGTTTTCTTTCTTAAAGGGCTTGCATTATTTTAGTGTTTTGTATATTGAAAGTTGATTTTTTTATATTTTCAATTTGTTAAATTGTAGTTGTATGATTTATTTCTTAAATATATTTACTATATATAAATATTGTCAAAGCGTAATTTGATTTATAATGTGCAAGTCATGTATTATACATCAATGCGAAGGGGTTTTCTTATTATTATATGTCGGAATTTTAAAATCTGTTCTTTATAAATTGTCAAAATAAAAAGGCTTTTAGTTATATTTTTAGCTGACAGGTCTCCTCCAGTCGGTTTCTGAGGTCTAATATATACTGGTATTTGTTCTTTACTTCTGATTCTTCTTCTCCCGTCCATAGATGTTCCAATATTTGCATCGGACTTCATACCGTTCTTCCATACAGTAATTCTAAGGGTGAAAATCCTGTACTTACTTGTGGGACTTCTCAATAAGCAAATAATAGTGCCTACAAATATCTGTCCCAGTCATGTGGTTTCTCTTGGCACATCTTCTTTAGTATACTCTTTAAAACTCCACTGACTCTCTCACAAAGTCCATTACATTTAGGACTGTACGAGGTGGTAAAGAGTTGCCGAGTACTGATGAGTCTGCACACTTCCTGCATCAGTTCTGAAGTAAACTGGGTCCTTCTATCACTCAGGGTTTCTCTCGGAAAGCCAACTCTGCTAAATATCTCCAGGAGGGCTTCTGCTACTCTCTTTATCTTCACCAGTGCTATTGCTTCTGGACAGCGTGTCGCATAGTCGATTACTGTCAGAACATACCAGTTGCCCTTGTCAGACACAGGTGTTAGTGGCCCGATTAAGTACACAGCTACTCTGCTGAATTGCTCTTCTATGAGAGGCATCTCCCTCAATGGCACTTTAGCTAAATTCCCTCTAGGTATTGTCCTCTGACAAATGTCACATGACCTGCAGACTATACTCACATCTCCGTTGACTCCCGGCCAATGAAAGTTACCGGTGATTTTTTTGTTCCTAGGTGTCCTCCCACAATCGATTCATGAGCCAACTTCATCACTTGAGTCCGGTATTCTGTTGGCACTATGATCTGTTGAACTTCCCCAATATAACTGCCTTGATAGATTCGGTATAGAACTCCCTTCCAGTCCTCTATTCTATAAGTATCTTTTCCCTTTGTTTTGAGCTCGACTTTCTTCCAGGCATTGTCCCAAAGTTTCTGCAGTGAAGGGTCTTTCTTTTGTACTTCCTCCAGTTCCTGCAAATCTAAGTTCGGGATATCGCCTTTTCACACTTGCAGGGGTTTGATGACTTGTTTGCTCTTCTTTTCTTGAGATATGGTAGTGACTGCAGATGCTTCATCAATCTTCTTTCTGTCTAGTTCCTCAAAGTTTCTACTACCTGATATGTTTCCTATCACCAAGTCGTGTATTGGTTCCTTGATACACATGGCCTCAAGGTCTCCTACATAATATGGAGTATCCACCTTTATTTTTGCTATGGGACATTTTCTCACTGTCCAATCAATTAGCATACACAGGCGTACCTTATCTGTCATCTGATATTACACTGGTTCTCACTGCTGCTCTACTGCACCCAGTGTCTCGTAGAACCTTCACTTTCTTGCCTCCAACATAGCCTTCACATATTAGCACCTCTTGATATTTGTCACATGCTCCCACCACTATCGGCATTGTTTATCCGTTTGCTAATTTGGGCCGACCATTAGTCGTGCACTGATCAATCACGTTTTCTTGTATTGAATTTGACAAGTAGTCTTGATTCTCTTTCTTCTGGCAGCAGCATCAATAATGCCCGTCACTCTTTTCTTGTTTCTTACCAACATTAGATTTACCAGATTAGTTTTAAAATTATAAGGAGCAGGGAAAGTTTTGTATGTAGGCATATCATGAATTCTCTACATTCTTACTTTAATATAGAATTTTTCAGTTATTCAGATTTCTGTACGATTTTCGTATAGCACGTGGTCGAGAAACTCATTAAATTACTTTCACTCTACATTCTCTACATTCTTACTTTAATATAGAATTTTTCAGTTATTCAGATTTCTGTACGATTTTCGTATAGCACGTGGTCGAGAAACTCATTAAATTACTTTCACTCTAGTTACTTATTGTTCTGTGTCATTCCCATCTGGAAAGTAGTTGTATAGTTGCACCTTATGTATGAAAGTGGACAGCAGCTTTCTCCATTGATAAAGCAGGTAATATCTCGAACTTACAACCATCCTTTTATACCTAATGAGAATGGACGATCACAAGTCACTTTAGCAAAGCAATATGTTACTATTTTATTTACGTAACGTGATGTTTTAACAGACTGGTAGAATCTCTCATCGAATGCAGTCTGAAATAAGTTTGAAACAAATCAGTTTAGAGAGAGAGAGAGAAAGTAAGCATTCTGGATCCAATTCTCTGACAAAGGTGAGTGACTTTCGTGTTGAAGTGAATACACACACCATGCTTCTGTTCTAATATAGATTGTTTATTGTATTTTTATACATTTGTGTCCATTCTCTTTATTTCTCATGAACTCAGTAACGCTCCGAGAATTCAGAATTACTATGTTATAAATGTCTTGGTCAAATGTCCTGTTATTCTGCGGACCTATCTTGAAGGGAAATCAGTTTCACCTGAGAATACCACACACGTTGAAGCAGTAACTTACAGTAACCTTATTCTTATATGCCATAGAATAAAGCTTGATTTAGCATTCTATAAAAACAACAAAAAAACACATAAATTATAAGGTCATAGTATATGAAATAAATAAGTGCATAAAAATACTAATACGTGAAATAATATAACTATTACTATACAATATCTAAGTAAGTGTGTTGCATAAAATAATGCTGTTTTTTATAATATACTTCGGGCAAAATCTTGCTCTTTACTAATTCTTACCAAGATGGCCAAGGGACTAATTAATAATAATCCAAGGGATTTTGGCCTAGATTGCTTACATCTAAAATTTCATTAACATATAAGAGTGTTTTAGAAGTAATATAATAAAATTGTTATGTGTCATATGTTGACTGTAAATATTCAAAATTTTATTTCAAACCCAAAAGCTTATATTTGTTTATTTGATTATTAACTACAAAACTACACAATAGGCTATCTGTGCTGTACCCACCACGGGCATCGAAATCCGGTTTTTAGCGTTATAAGTCTTCAGGTGGTGGGGAGTTTGTGAAATTATAGTAATGCCCTAGCTCTAACTGCCATTGGTAGATGGCAGCACGTAATTCTGTTTCATTTATTCGGTAACGCAATCGACTTTCTTTTAAACATTTTAAGAAGCTCAGTTACAAACTCAAAAAGTATATACAAAGTACCTACAATGATATAAGAAATAAGTTAATGTACCGTTGGTTTAGTTTACTTCACAAAAACTTTTGTGCATATAAAACCTAAAGTACTATTCGAAAACCCTTAATCTATTTCTAAATATTTAATCCGGAATTCTAAACTGGCGAAATTACACCTCACTGTGTTTATAAAATCTGGGAAAGTGTCTATCTTATGTGAGTATTATGATTTTTTTTTTTTTGTGAGTAAAACGTCTCTGATAGGTTTCAGTGTTTTAGATCTTTTTTAGGTTTTTTTCACTTATGAGTTCAAAGAACAACTTTAAGTTTCAAAGGCGGTTATACAATCCTACGAAAATGTGTGTAATCATATATTTAGAACACGCCCTTTACTTTGCTTCGAACGTTTGTTCTCTTACCGCTTGACAACTCTTGTTTAAAACTTTATTGAAGAAAAAAGTTTTGGAAAGAGCAACGGATAAAGTTAGTATAATTTCTGATTTATATTAAACACGTTATAAATTTCATTGATTTACCCTTAATATATATTAGACTTCTATACATAATAGGCTACCTGCTTCTGCCCATCACGAGGAATTAAACTCCAGATTTTCGCATTATAAGTCTGTAAACTTACCGCTGGCCCACTGGACTCCTGATATTTCTTCAAAATGGTAGATATACTTGCAGCTTCTGATCCACAAGCAGAGTTCGGCGTGATATAATGCTCCTTTTTTTCTCTTAATTTTTTTAAAGAACAAAAATAATACTTGGTATTTTATTAAAGAAACAACTCTATTGGTTTCGCTATCGCTGTAAACTTCTGAAACATTATATCTTAATCATTACTTTTTTCCACTAGTACTTTTATAATGCATAATTTAACTCGAATAATTTATACGTAGGTTGTTTTTCACGAGGGATAAAAATTCATCATGTTACGAAATACTCAAAAATATTTTGGTACGAGAGTGCGCTTGAGTTGGAGCGTGACTCACGTTGCTGCAGATTTCGTTCAGAACTGTTATTGAGTCGGAGTCGTTTGTATATAGTGTATGTATTATTAAGTTTGTAGTTGCCCAGCTTCTGCGATTGCATAAACTAGGTAAAATGTCAACGCATTCAGTGCAACACAAAAAGTCTGGCTTTCGTGAGATTCCATCTAGAAGGGTGCTTATCAACGATGCTTCTCAGTTACCGTCGGATTATAGCTCAACACCTGGAGGCACCATATTTTCAACTACTCCTGGAGGTTGTTATTTGCATATGTATCAATATGTGACCTCATTTCGTTTTTTTTAAACTTCGGTTTGAAAAAATTAATTATGTGCACTTAATCATCAAATATAAACGTATATACATTATTATATTAATACTAGTAATAGCGAATATAATATGGCGTTATTTATTATGGTTTTTATGTTTGATTTATAAGGTTGTTTTATTTAGAAACTTTCCAGTAATATAAAATTTGATGTTTATTAATTTCACTGCTGCAGTAAGATTATTATAAGTGGGTAAAAAATAACATTTGAGTTACTAAGAGCAAAGATTGTAACATGCCTCCATTTCAGTTAAATGTACTTAGGTATTGTTATTTTAACGTCTAAGTTATAAGTTGCATCAAATACATTAAGTTATAAATGATTTCACATGAATACTATAAAAGTATAATTATAAACTAAAAGTGAGTTATGCTATGTGTATAGTTTAACCTAAAATATCATATGGTAAAGCTCAAATTCTTATCTTCTATGTTTTTGTACTAAATGTGTCTGGTTAAACTTCTAAAAAAATTATTCTGTTAAAAATATATTGTACAGAACCTTTCTTAATTTGCAGATTTTATTTGATTGTCTAATACAGTGGCATAGGAAGGGGTGCCCTCAATTTTCAACCTGTCCCAGTAAAATTGCATCAGAATTAGGAAAATTACTCTCAGGAAAATGCTTAAAATTTCATCCAGAATTCAAGGGCCTTAAGGCAAACCCTGGACCCCAGACATGTGTACATTCTTTCTCTTAGTCACCACCCCACACACATAAATGTAGCATAGATGTTTTTAAAATTTTGCCTAAACATGTATATACTTTTTCTACATGTTTTAATTTACCAACTATTGTTTGCAATTTTATTCTTAGTGTGTATTTGGGAAATGGAAAGCCTCAAAAATTAAAAGATTATACATGGTCATGTGAAAAGACAGAGTAATAAAAAGCTATTCAACCCATCAAGGTCACCACTCATCCTTTAAAAATCTGTTTTTATGTACCTTTTTTTCAAACTAAGCTGATTATAACCCACACCTATATGCTATATGGTGTCATATCTGGAGAATATGGTGGGTGGGGGAGAACTTCCCAACCCAACAATCTTGTGTGCGTCAAATGTGCCACATGTACACGTGCATTGTCGTGGAGAAGAACACCTTTCCGATTGACGAGTGAAAGGCGTTTCTGATGAAGGGCTTGATTTAAAGGTTCTAGTTGCAGACTATAGATCTCTGCGTTGACAGTTCGCTGTGGATTGAGGAGTTCGAAATGAATTACTCCTTTGATGTCCCACCAAATGCAAAGCGTCACTTTTTGCGGATGGAGTCCAGGTTTTGGGGTCGGAAGTGGTTTTTGTCTAGGACTGAACCATTGTTTTTGCGTTTAATATTCGAACAGAGAATCCATTTTTCATCACTTGTGACAATTCTGTCCAAAAAAGGTTCACGCGCATTACGCGCCATAAGAGATTAAGCAACGTTCACACGTTGGAAACGATGATCATTGGAGAATTCATGGGCACCCAAACACATTTGTGGAGTTTTCCCATATTCCTTAGATGTTTACTTATTGTTTCATGAGAGACGTGCAATTTCAGGGCCATTTCACGAGTGTGTTGCATTGGGTTAGACAAAACAAGCGTCTTCAGAGCATCAATATCAATTCCAACATGTAGGCCCCTGCCATCACAGTTTTAAAGGCAAAAGTCACCAGAACGAAATTTACTGAACCATTGTTGACAGTTACGGACGTTCAAAATATTTCCATAAACTTCTTTTATATTCTTTGTGGCGACCTAATATATATCCAGTCACAAAAAACGATACAACCGGTCATACACATCAAAGAAATATATGAATATTGACTAGAGTGCATAGGTCGACAATACAAACATGTTGCATCTTAGCACAATCACCTCACATTATGTACGGTGTTGCGATAAGAAAAAGGGCTTTGTATTAGCTACCTATACGTGTGCAGTATTTATGAAGGTGTACAGGAGCTTGAGTACTTTGTATTAAGATGATTTTGAATGAGCAAATGATCCAGTCACGTGACAACCGCAATAAATATAAATTTGTGGTGGAACGAAATGTATCATAACTATATTATGACATTGTTTGGTTTACTTAGGTAATATGAAGCCACTGAAATTTGTTCTGTTTTGGGAAGGGTTGGCAACAGCCCTTTCTGTGAAAATTAGTTATACACTCGGATCATAAAGATATATTCAGGTCGGGTTTTATTATTTCCAACGTAGGATATCCTTTGCATTGGAAAACATAGGAATATGGATTATCTTTAGACACCGATAAGACCATCCAGAAAGAGACTTGCAACAAGTCGTACTCTAGCTGTTACTATCAACGTGTGCAGCATCTTGTTACAGTTGAAAACCTACTAACACAAAGATCAGTGGCAAAAACCGTCCACTTTGCCCAGACAACATAATCAAGAAGGATTTCTGTCTAGAAAATCCACACAAGTCACGTGTACACAAGTTGCTTAACGACATAGCCGTTTAACCATCACCTACCTCAAGCAAATTAAGAATGAAATGTATGTACTTACTATTCCATACGAAAACACACCAGTCAAATTGTCCTATGGGTTTTGTGTGATCTGACTGTTGAAACGGGCGATGCCATCGTCTTTTTTTTTACACTAGTTGGACCATAAAAAGCATGCAGGGAGCGGTTTGATGCCTTGCACAGGACATTCCGACGACAGAGCCTTTTTCAATGGAAACTATGGTGCACGGCTGTCGTCAGGATGCGCCTCTATCGGATAGAGTTTTAAAGTAAGAGAATACAAAAAACACCAGTAAGCAGATTGGTCATTAACAAAATAATAAAAGCGCATGAGTCGCATCGACCCCCACCCTAAAGGTTGAGTAAACAATAATGGAGAGTAACAGCTGGTGATTTAAATGTCCAGTTGACCTTGATTTGGAAGTTTGACCCGTTAAAGAACGTAGAGTCCAAACACCGTGTTGAAAGTAAATTTCCATCTTCATCCGAGGTGTTGATTTTCGGTTTGCTATTACTGAATATGATTCTCTTCGTTTATGTGCTGTCACATATGTACATAACAGACGAAAGTATTTACAGGTACACGACAGAGTATCGTATAGTGAAGCCGTGCTCACCAGACGAAATTATTTACAGGTACACGACAGAGTATCGTATAGTGAAGCCGTGCTCCCCAGACGAAAATATTTACAGGTACACGACAGAGTATCGTATAGTGAAGCCGTGCTCCCCAGGAAAATTATAAA